GACGAAGACGGCCTCTGGGATGACTGCGCAGAAGCGGACGACGTCAGCGACGACGAGCGACGGCGACGTCTCGCGATAGCGGCGGCCGCCGACGCCACGATCGTCCAGCGGGGGCAGGGCCAGTGGCTCGGGTCCTGAGTATGTTTGCCGACGGCGACGCGCCCTTCGCCGTCAAGTGGCGGCGCGGCTTATCGCGCCGGGACGTCGCACGCCGCAGCGCCGTTCTTGTACCCATGGAGATGGCCCGGGGCACGCGACTGGAGGACGCGCCTTTTCCTCTCCGTGATCCGGCGCCGCGCACTACGACACCGTCGCCGCCAGCGATGCCGCCGCAGGAACTCGTCGACCGCGTCGAGCGGGAGCTTCACGACTGGACAGAGCTCGTCAGCAGCACGCCGATGGCCCACTTTGGTGTCGTCACCGTCTGCCACAAGCGACATGGCGAGTACGACGTCCAGTACGACTCGGGCGACGTGTCTCTCCGTGTGCCTGCGCGGCTCCTACGTGTCGCGCCGGGCGATCAGTGCGTCGGCCTCGGTTCTCGCGTCGCGGTTCAGCGTGACGGGGCGCTCAAACGCTGGTGCGACGCCGTCGAGCGCGCTGGTCGCGACGAGGACGCGGCGGTCGAAGCCGTTTTGCGCGGCGATGCCGACTGCGTCTTACGGCGGCGGCGCGGCCGCATAGAGCGGCATCTAACGATCGACGATTCGCCGCCGCTTGTTCAGGAGGTGATTCGGACCGGATTTACTTTTTCGATCGGCGCGGTGGGCAAGCCGCACGTCCTTGTCCCGCGACCGGCCGGCCTCGATCTTCCGCACAACCAGGCTCTCCTGGAAGAGACGCGGCAGCTCGACTGGTGCGACGCGGAGCTTCAGTTTTTCATGGAGTGGGGCGTTTCCGATTACTCGAACACGGCGCCACGCGGCGTCTCGACCTTTGCGCCAAACCACAAGTCGACGGTCGACGATGGGATGGCTGTGCTTTACGAGAAGACGTTGGCGAAGGAGGTGGACTGCGGCTGGACGTTATCGGGGCGCAGCTTTCCGCACGTGTTTCCGGTGTTGGTTCGTCCAGGAGGCAGCCGGCTCAAGCCAGCCACGGCCGAAGAACTGGGCGGCTCTTCTCGAAACCTCGTGGGCGCCACGTGGCCGAAAAAGGGCACGCCGTGGGCCTTTGCTCGCGACAGCGATGGCGTTTTGCGCCTCCTCGCATCGAACTACAATACGGACGTCGACGCGATCCCGTCGATCGAGTGGTTGACAATCGAGGTCAACGCTGAGGCGGCGGCGGTGCTCGGGACGGCGCGCCGGCGTGCCGGTGTCGGCATGGGCGGGGGTGTCATCGATCTCTCAAAGTGGTTCCGGCAGATGGCCGTCGCCTCGACGGAGTGGACCAAGCAGTGTCTCAACTGGTGCGGCCTCTACTACCTCGACGTGCGCATGCAAATGGGCAAGGTCTCGTCGGCCAACGTGGCGCAGCGCGCGACGTTCGTGCTTGTCGCCGCGTGCGAACGGCGGCTCGATTACGAGATCGCAGAGTTTGTGACAGCGCAGACGGGAGCCGATTGGGACGAGCTCCGGGCCTGGCAGGCTGATCGCCTCATCGCCTTTGGCGGCGATCACGCGCAAGCTCGATTGTACTTTATGAGCTCGTTTCAGGACGACATGTACTGCTTGGCTGTCCACGACGAAATCGCGGCGCTGGTCGAGCAGCGGGTTCCAGGGATCATACGGCCGCTGCTCGTCGGCGTCTCGGACAAGACGCCCCCGTTCTCGTCGCGGTTCGTGAGCATCGGCACCGAGTGCGACGCCATCAGCGAGTCACTGCGGCCGCGGGCTCCTTTGCGCGCTGCATACGTCGACGCTGCGGCGTGGGTCGAGGAGAACCGAGGTTGTCTCGTGGATTACGACCGCCTCGAGCAGTGCGTCGGCCTCCACGAGCTTTGCTCGCGCTTTGTCAACGACCGCGGTTGCAACAACTCGGCGCACCGGTGCTTGCAGCCCATCGCGCGCGCGGGCGGGCGGTGCATGATCGGAAGCGACTTTGCAGACGACGTGCGGCGCATTGTCACCGTCCTCAAGGACGCCCGCGGCGTGCCCCTCGTCGCCGACCCGGTTTGCCTGTACCCGCCGGAGTACGGCGCTCTCGGCGACGCTTCGACCACGACGGGCTACGGGGTCGTCGTTTCCGATGGCTACGAGGCCCACGTATATCACGGCGCTTGGCAGCGCGCGACGCTCGCTGCTGTCGCGGCGGTCGACGTGTCGATATCGCCGCTCGAGCTCGTGACCGGTGCGTACGTGGCCGACGCCGTTTGCCTTTGGCTGCCGGACGTCCTCGCACGGTCGCGACAGTTCGTGGTCCGATGTGACAACACCTCGGCGTGCGACGTCGTCCTGACGGGACGCGCATCGTCGGCACCGATGGCAGCGGCGCTCGACGTACTTCGGGAGGTCGAGCGACGCCACGGCGTCCGTGTCCTTTTCGTCCACATTGCTGGCGAAAGGAACCCGGTTGCGGACCGCCTCTCAAGGGGGGATCCCATCGAGGCGGCGGCCCTCTTGCAAAACATCGGCAAGACACCGCGCGAGCACGCCGCACCCGCGGAGTGGGCGGTTTGGGAGAAGCGCGTGTGTTTCGCTGCTCGCAAGCGGCCACGGGCCGTGACTAGGCTACTAGTATGGCGCTAGGCCCCAAGTTAGCCTACTAGGGTCCTAACGCTTGGCGATATAATGATTTCTTTTTTATAGTCCCTGAGGGTGTTCCTTCCCTCCACATAACTCGGCTTCAATATGAGTCGTGGCATGGATTACCGGCGGTGGGCGAGGCAGTGGCGGTGCGTCGCCTCGTCGGAGGTGACACGACCCACTTCGACGGAGACTCGGCCGATGCGGCCGCGCATGGCCCAGAAGTAGCCGTACTTGGTATCGCTAGACCAGCAGCCCATAAAGCCGGCGACGACGTCGGTAGACAGGTTAGCCGCCGTCGTCGCACCACCGATACGAAGGCTGTGCCAGCCCGAAGCCAGCTCAGGGAAGCCGGCTTCGCGGAGGAGACGTTTGAGCTCGGTCGTGGCGTAACGGTACGTCATATGCTTGCCCGTCGTGGAGTCGAGGAAGAGCGGGAGCGTCTGGTCGGCCTGCAGTTGTACGTCGTGCTTCAGCACGTCGCAGATGGCTGCGCCAGCCGAAATCGACTCAGGGTCGAGGTCGACGGGCAGGTGCTTGATGAAACCCTTCTCGCCTGCTTGGTCCGTCTTCGAGGGCGGCATGTCGAACCGCACGGAGAGGCCGACCGGAGCCTGCTTGTCGACCTCGAAGTTGACGCGGCCGCGGTGCATGTCGTCGAGGTTCCATCCTTTTTGGGATGGCACCTTTTTGCCGCGGATCAAGTCCGAGAAGCGGGAGACAGACTGCCACGATGTCGTGATCAGCGCCCACAGGACTCGGTGCTGCTAGTTGGCCTTGAGGTCGAGGAGGCGCCGAATCGCGCGGGGGTGCTGGGCGAGGATGGGCTTGCGGATGGCGCGCCGGCTCGGCGAGAACTTGTGGAGCGCTTTAACGAGCAACTTCAGCTGAAACGACCGGTTCTCGCCCTTCGACCCTGGGCGGTGGCCGTGCTTCTTCCCGTAGTGCGACCTAATAACAATTATAGGGTTTCTAGCGGTGTGGCGGATTTTCCAAACGACACTGCGTGCGACTTCACGGCGCCGCCGAGAGGCACGACTCGGCGTACGTTGCCGTGTTTGGCGCGCCGTCTTTGACCTTTTTCTCCTGGCGCGGGAACTTGACGACGTAGGCGAGGAAGAGCATGGGCGCGTCGTCCTCCTCCTGGATCTGCGCGCGGGACGCGTCCGAGTCGTTGTCCGCCAGGCGTCCAAAGGATAACACGTCAAGGCCGACGATCTGGGCAAACTCGTGCCAGAAGCGCAGGGCGCTAGCGTATGTGCCCTCAGTCGTCGGGGCCAAGCCCTCAGTGCGCATGGCTGCGTAGATCTCGAGGAGCTCGTCTCGGATGCGGACGATTTCCTTCGCCGGGCCATCGAGGCGAGCCCGGCTGACGCGCGACTGGATTGTCGGGAGTGTATCGTGCTCAGCGGCCATGGCCGCCACTCGCTTTCGCACGTTTGACCATACGGGGTCGAAGCGCGCCCGGTTGGTCGACATCGGAGAAGTCTGAAGCAAAATACAGAACAAGTTGATTTAAGCGATATGACACCTCCGGATGCGCGCATGCGCGGAGAGGACGGGAGCCTCGGGGCTTGCGGCGTTGTGCATATCTTACGACTTAGATACGTACTTCCAGTCGAGTTGACGCTTTCAATATCGCGGGTCTCCTGGTTCCTTCGCGAGGAAGGTCTTTTCATATCGGCCCATCCAGAAGCCAGCGGAACCAGGCGCGCCAAATCTACGGCCCGCAAAAGACGCCAGACGCTGCATTTTACGGCAGAAACTTTGCGCCGTCGCACCGGCGTCATCTCAATGTCCCCGAGCGCTTCTTTTGCGCTAGAGTGCAGAGCAGGGTGCGGCTGCGCGTATGCGTTACGGTCTGGTCGCCATCGTCCTCCCACGCCCCATCTGGGGCCATCAAAGTCAAAGCCTCGTCGCCCAATCGTGACTATTTGTGAACAGATTTTCGTTGGCACCCAAAAACTTGGAACAGCTTACCATCTCCCCGGGAGATTAAATCAAACCCTCACCTCACCAACACTTTGTACTCGGCAGTCGGCGGCTTGGGACGCGCGGTGGTGAAACAGAAGAGGCGGCCGGCGCTTTTGGGCCCGGCGTTGGGCACTTCGGGGCGGTCCAGGGACGTCGAGAGAAAACCCGCTCAAAAGGACTTGGCGGAAAAAGAATTTCAAGGGCGCCGGGTCCCAATGTCGACCTTCCCAAAAAAGAACGGATTAAATATGTTTGGCCAAAATTCAATATCACCTTCAGGTCAGATTTCAGCGATCAATTCACCAGCGGCATCTGTGTGCGATTAGCGATTGGTCATTAGCTGCCTTAGCTCAGTTGGGAGAGCGCCAGACTGAAGATCTGTAGGTCACCCGTTCGATCCGGGTAGGTGGCAACTGTTAAATATCAGATCACTCCCGTGTGAGTGCGTTCTGTGCGCAGCTCGATAGCGCAGTGGTAGCGTGCTGGGCCCATAACCCAGAGGTCGATTGATCGAAACAATCTCGAGCTAAGAAATAGCTCCCTTAGCTCAGTTGGTCAGAGCGTGGGTCTAATAAACCCAAGGTCGCCGGTTCGAGCCCGGCAGGGAGTACTCACAGAGAGGCAACGTGGCCGAGCGGTTAAGGCGAGTGACTCGAATGGTCAACTGCTGACTCAGAGGTAATCTCTTATCGTTAGATGCGCAGGTTCGAGTCCTGCCGTTGTCGAAAACTGACACCTTTAGATTGCGTCGTCTAGCGTTTAGAGCGCGACCTTGACACGGTTGAGATCATGGGATCAAATCTCTTTCCGAGTGTTGAATGAACGCACCCCTCTCAGAGTGATGTAGTGGTAACATCAGTCGTTGCCATCGACTGTCCCCGGGTCCGATTCCCGGCTCTGAGATTACACCTGCCGATACAGTGTCTGCTACGAATGCGGTCGTGGCAGCCTACATATCACTATCCCTGTTCGTATAGTGGTCAGTATCTCCGCCTGTCACGCGGAAGACCGGGGTTCAATTCCCCGACAGGGAGTTACGTCAGCAACATGTGCGGTCTTGGCCGAGCGGTCTAAGGCGCTAGTTTAAGGCACTAGTCTTCGGGCGCGGGTTCGAATCCCGCAGACCGTAAAACTTATAATCCTGCTAGCGTGGCCCAATGGATAAGGCGCATGACTACGAATCATGAGATTCCGGGTTCGAGTCCCGGCGTTGGTTTACACATTG